GTCACGGTCCTTGATTTTAATCTATTCATAAAGGGCTTTTGAACCACTCTTAGTCTGACCCGTCATCCAGGACCTGTTTGCCTTGGGAGACCCTACCAGGAACATATAGCCCCCGACAACATAGCTCCTAGGATCACTCGGGTACTCAAACCCCTCCACCACAATAGGATCACTCGGGTACTCAAACCCCTCCACCACAATAAGGTGGCGGTTTAAGGAGGGGAAATCATTTCTGTCATGGTGAAATCAAACATTACGAGCTCCTACATTTGAGTAGTCCGTAATGTCAAACTATTCGTACATTTTGATTTGAGCGCAGAATTTTTGTTCAAAAAAATAAAATTAAATAACAGAGTTTCTGTAATTTAACCATGAACACCCTTTGTCCTAGGACTGACTTGCTGAACTGAATGCCTGCTGTTGTTTGTGCTGAGAAGCATAGTGCAGTGGCTGCCAACAGTCTGCACAGTACTGGTCCACAGCATCTCGATGGATGCATGCTGCCTTTGCACGTACACTGTATGCTCTGCATGTGTGTGGCCTACATTTCCAGTGTAACTGTAGGCCCCTAGTCTGTCTTAGTCTGTATGCTTGTTGTGTACGCAGCTGTATGTGTGTTTTCGCAGCACGCCCCCAGTATAAACGAGGCCACCGTAAAACTGCATCTTTTGGCACCATTCTGGATGTCCCCAAGATCGTCATCACAGGTATCACTAGACCACTGGGATTCCTGGTTGATAGGTGGAGCTGGGTGGCTGAGCCTGTGGGTTGCTGTACTTTGACACATGGCCCTCTCTTTTCTGTCACTCCATATTATACCTCTCACAGAATGCTTATTTGTGTTATAAGCCTCAAAACTGTCAAAATAATAAGAAATGCAGGGCATGGAGTTACACATGAGAGCTGCCTTATGTCTTTTTGTCCTGTTCCGCCACCCCCCCCAAAGTCCAGACCGCAAGTATTGGGACTGTTCCACAATTTTTTTTGTCCTTCAGGCTCTGTGCTTCAGCACATAGAATTTGAAATACAGTAACTGGCTTTGAGTAGATTTACATCAGTATTGAAAGAACTGTGCAGAGGATATACAGTAGGCCATGCTCTATTAATACATAGTGCCTAAACTGCAACTGTTCAAAAAGTAATTGGACACTTGGCTACTAAATGTTTCTTGGGCAGCTGTATTTCATCAATTTAACAGTACCTTGACAAAAGAGCTCAGGCATTGCTCAGAGTTGGTGGACAATTGAGAGTTTTGCCAGGTAGATTGAGTTAGAGTTGACTGTCAGTAAGAGGTGCCTATGCAGGTGAAGAAGACAATGATGAGACTCAAAAAGCTAACATCTTATCAGAGAGTCTGTGTCAAAATAAACAGCTAGTGCATTAAAAAGGGTGCACACAGGAAAATGACAATGACAAATGAGCCGGTAGACCAAGGAGCAGGTCCTGTGGCTGACGTCCCTGAAGAGGAGACTTTATGACCATAATGTCATCACAGCATTTAAGGCTGGTAAGCCTCAAAAACAGCAAGGCCAGGTTGCAGTTCTCAGAAACATACAAAAACAGTTCTGTGACAAAGTTCTATAGACTGATGAAACAAAAACTGACCTTTAGTCAACTGGAAAGTGATAGAAAGAAGAAAGTGTGGAAACAAGTAACCAAAGAGCTCTTAAGGGTAAAGAGGTGGCGTATCCTTCATTGGCTCAGTCGGTCACCTAATTTCCACCTGACTAAGCTGAAGACCAGGCCAAATGCAGAGAGAGCCCATGACAGCAAGCCTGAAGGTGGCCACAGTGAAAGCCTGCTGGAGCAGGGAAGATCCAAGGCATCTGCTGCTCTCTATAAACTGAATACTTCAGACAGCCACTGAATGCAAAGGACAAAAAGATTTTCATATTATCTCTCCACTTATTTTTGCACCTCGAAACTTTGGGAACTATGTATTAAAAGGGCTATATCACCCTCTCAGTTCTTTGTACATTGTTTGTTCCAAATTGAATGTGCTTAAGCACAGAGGCTGAATGACAGAAAGACCACTGTCTAAATGCTTACTGTCTGTACTGTAATTGGCAGAAGCAGAACATGAGTTAAAACTGGAGCTTTTTCATCTGTTATCACCTTTTATACTCAAAATTTAGTTCCAACTAATTAATGTTTCTCCAGAGTTGATGTAGACTTTTTTTATCTCCTGGGTCAATGAAACCAAATAGCTGGCCCTAGGAAATCTGGTCAGCATATTGCGTTAGATCAGGTGGCACAGATCAGATAAGCTTCCTAACTCATGGCCCTGTCCTCTCCTCTGGTTTGGCTGCAGCAGATCCTGGGTAGCATGAGATAATCAGTGCACTACTTGTCTGCATATGAGCTCGTCCTTGCCTTTAATGCTTAGAGGACATGGAGAAAGCATGACATTTTACCCCCCTCGTGCACTCTTTACAGCCATTAACTTTGAAAAAGTCAATTTGATGAATTTCTCTCACCTTGAGAGTCAGAGCTATTATTACAAGCAGAGATATGGTTGAAAGGAATGGGAACAGCTCTACATGTCAAAAAAGGCTTCTATTTTGGAGTCATGTGAGACACATTGAACAAGTGGCTAATTTAATCCAGTGACTAAAGGAGTCAGCTGGTGCATGTTCTTAAAGGCAGAACACTTAATCATTGCATGTGCACACCTGGACATCAGGCCTTTTCCCCAGGACACAAATCTCTGATGGCCACCGGGTAGGGGTGTAACAATATACAAAATCTCTGTTCAGTTTTGTACCTCAACTACAAAATGGGGAACATTATCAGTACAGCAAGCAAGTCTAAATACAGTCTGAAAGTTGGGTTTTTTTTTCTTTTATTTTGAAACATTGAGCATCAATTAGTGATTTATTGGCTATATTCATACTGTAAAAATTGCACCAGATAAACACTGGTATGTGGACTATAAGAAAATATTCAAATATATGGTGTTCTTGCTGGGTTGATTGTGTTTATATTTTCTCAGATTTAGGAAGTTCCAGTGTCTTTAGCCTCTTTGCTATGGTGCATTTCCAAACACATACAGTGGGTACGGAAAGTATTCAGACCCCCGTAAACTTTTCACTCTTTGTTATAGTGCAGCCATATGCTAAAATCATTTAAGTTCATTTTTACCTCATTAATGTACACACAGCACCCCATATTGACAGAAAAACACAGAATTTTTGACATTTTTGCAGATTTATTAAAAAAGAAAAACTGAAATATCACATGGTCATAAGTATTCAGCCCCTTTGCTCAGTATTTAGTAGAAGCACCTTTGGAGCTAATACAGCCATGAGTCTTTTTGGGAATGATGCAACAAGTTTTTCACACCTGCATTTGGGGATCCTCTGCCATTCCTCCTTGCAGATCCTCTCCAGTGCTGTCAGGTTGGATGGTAAACGTTGGTGGACAGCCATTTTCAGGTCTCTCCAGAGATGCTCAATGGGGTTTAAGTCAGGGCTCTGGCTGGGCCATTCAAGAACAGTCACAGAGTTGTTGTAAAGCCACTCCTTC